AAACCAAACTACACAAATGCTTGAAGAGAGAGGATGTACAATGGCAGGAAATTAGTTTTCAATGACTCAAACGGTATTTTTGAGTTGCTTGTAAATATGACATTTTTTCTTTGGAGACAGAAGGCTCTTTCTATTTGGGCTTGTAGTGCTCCAGTTACAAAAAGGGAGACAGCTATTAGGAAGAAATTATTAAATAGAACATCTTAACTTTTTGGGAAGTTTAGTAAGGCTGTCATCTAAAAGAGGTGACAAATGCAGAGTTTCATGTTCTCTACCAAAACAAAGTTCACAAGTTGAAATAGGGACAACCCAGAAATTGTCTCATTAGAAAGACAAAATATTTGAATATCTAGAAACAAAAATAATAAATAGGAATTTATGTGGAGGAGGTGCCTAGGAGCTCTTGAAGATAGATTTCTTAAAGAGTCTGCATAAAATTCTCTGGGTTTTCTAACAGTTTATTTGAATTGAACAATAGAAAATTATCTAAAGTAAACTGACAAAAACTGGAGGAACGGGAGGAGAATAAAATATCAAATGTGATGTGCTAGCTAGTAAAAAACATACATTTTCTTTGCTGACTTCACTTTATGCAGATAGTAGGAGAGCACAGAAATATTCTCTTGTGCTCCTATTTTTGTAAGAAAGTAGCTTCTGCTGCCTCTGATCATATGCATAAAAAGGCAGCATGTTACTCTTAGGCAGACTGGATCTAGTGATAGGGATAGAGTTTCTTTGAAGAAAAGCCCTAGAAAAATCCAGTAACAGAAATAGACTCCCACTGAGAGTTTACTGAGATTTTGCTGCTCTTCTGTGTCTCAGTAATGAAGCAGACCATGGAGAGAATGGAAATTGATGTCTTGCCTAAGGTATATGTATTGGGGAAAGATCAGAGCTGTTTTTGTGTGTCATTGATGCTGAAAATAGATCTCTGAATGATGCTTTTCTCCTTTTGGACTCCTGTTTGGGAGTTGAATTTGCAGATGAAAAAGGGACAGGAGGTGAGAACAACAATGCTGGTTGCATGATATGCCCCTTAACTCTCATGTTATGTTATATGCATCACAGATATAGGAAAATTGCTTGACATTCATATTGTTAATCAATTATGAGGATGCCAACTTTCAAACTGATGATACTGCATAGTGCTGTAGGGATATCTGATATCCCTGTGTCAGATATCCCTAAATCAGAGTGATATATGCCTTTCTGATGTGCATTTTGGTGTGCTTAGGTTGGGCACCTGGTTGTTGTCTTTCTCAAACCCCTCACTGCAGGTGGGGTTGGGACTTGGCTCCGTTTGTCTACTGCATTTGTCCACCAGGAGCTAGAGTTAGTTCAGCATTTGGAGACTTACAATCTGTTGAAGATAAAAAAAAGAGTTAACTCTTGGCTAGGCAACTTCAAACAAATACTATTGGAGCTCTGTCAATGCTGCAACAACTTGATGCCGTGAGCTGTGGTCTGTCTTCATGCTGTGCTGACCAGGTATTGCTTGTTGTCTGCAGTAGTGACTGTGTTTCCTGAATCACATGAATTCAGTTGATGGCCTTTGGAAGGGTATAACACTGGAGTGGTCCATTTGTCTTTCTAATTGGCACTGGGAATTGATCGCTGTGGTTCAGTGGGGAGCTCCAGGCATTGGGTGAAAATGCAAAGTATGTTTTGGTTCTGACTACATTCAGCATCAGCCACATTTTAGTGCTTATTAATGTTAATTTAAAATCTCTATGCTTTTAAACCATTACATGTTTCATGGATATGTGAGATTGGATAGTTTTCATCCTTTCTATTTTCTGCTTGAAAAGTCAAGATCTTTCCCTCCAGCCATGAGGCTTCTTTCTTCTCGGTACAATAAATAAGCTTCGTCATAACACTGTAGGTGAAAGTATTTTAGTAATTCCAGATAAATATATTTTCTTAGTACCTTTTTTTTGTTTGTTTGTATCTGGAATAGTTTGAAGTGACTCCAGAGAGTTTATGCAAGTAGTAAATACAGAGCTGCCAGCTATGCCTTAGGTAGTCTGAGAGGACTCACCTCAGAAACTTGCTTAACATTTTAGAAAACCAAATTCACGCTGGTGGACTCTAATTGCTGTCTTTTACTTTATGAATAGGCCACTACTATTATTTTTCCCTTCCAAAATATGAAGGGTGAAAAATTCAAGCACAGATGACAAAAGCTTTATTGTTGAGTTATTTTGCTTTCATATATGGGGTATGATTAAATGTGTGCTGTCAAAAAGAGACCTCTTTATAGCCTGATACTATTGATTAGTATTTGAAACCTGCCAGCAGCATTATTACTTTATGGATAAGAAAATCTAATAGAAAATTATTAAGTTGATGTTTTAGTTCTTCTAGTGAGAACGTTTCAGATATTCATCTCATATCGTTGCACAAATTGCTTGGCTCAAATAGATACCACAAAATCATGTTTTAATGATTTTTTTTTCCTTTTTCCATCTTTTTTTTTTTTTTTTCCACAGTCACATGACACAATCAGCCACATTTGAAGACCCTCGAATAGAGAGCTGCCAAATAACCCCTCCAACCCCTCGGAAAGTGGAAATGAGGAGGGATCCTGTGCTAGGATTTGGGTTTGTGGCTGGTAGTGAAAAGCCAGTTGTTGTACGCTCAGTAACACCAGGTATGTTTTCCCCACCTGACCCCAGAAGAAAACTTTGACTCAATTCTACTGTGATGAAATACAGTTACAAATTTGAGTACTGTTGAAATATTCGGGCAGACAAAGTAATCACAAATACTAGGTAGGATTTTAAGCCTTTTATTACCCTCTGGTTTCCTTTCTCACAGTCATTTTTGAACATTATGTAAATGTGTTAACAAAAAGTCAGTTTGGAGTTATTACTCTGAGCTATTAGTATTGTTTGCTTGAAAAAGGTTAACCCATTTCATTCAAGGAAAGAAGATCTTCTCACTCTTTATATTTGCTTGCTGTCACTTTCATTGACATTGAATCAATGTTTTCAAGAGGTATGTTGAGTAGTGAAATTAAAACTTAAATATTTTTCATTCTTTTTATCATCAGCTTCCTAAGGACAACTAGGTTTCTAAAAACATTTTTTTTTTTTTTGGAAAAGAGGATGTTATTTCTGGCTCTTTTTGTTTGTTTGTTTGTTTGTTTGTTTGTGGTTTGTTGTTGGGGGTTATTTGTTTTTGATTGGTTTATTTGTTTGATTGGTTTGGGGTTTTTGTTTTTTTAGTGAATACATCTGCATAGCTATGTGGTTAAAACCCAGGTCAAAATAAATCAAAGAAGTTATGAGGGATCAGGCCTGGGACTGATCAGCTTCCCGAATAGCAGGCTTCTGCTCTCAGTGCTTAAAAGTTCAGTTGTTATATAAAACTACTATGAAGCCAAGGGCAGGGATTTGACTTTGCTCCTGTTCAATATATTCTCTAGAACCCCCACAGAGAGCAGAGGAGAGGGAAAATTGACTTTGTGAAGTACTGATGTCATTTATTCACGTGTGTGCATTGATTACATTTATATTACTTTCACATGAAGTGAGAAGTGTAACTAATATTTGAACTAGATCCATACAGTTTATTTCTTTCAACTTGGCATTATTAATGTAGCTTTATGTTAAAGTTGGAGAATGTGTTTGTTATATTCTGCTCCAAATGAACAGAAGGAAGTACGAGCTCAGGACAACATTCTCCCATATAGATTTGTATCCATTTATGCTGGATATATAAGTGGAGTATAGTTTTCAAAGCAAAGGAATTGAGCATTAGCTCAATTGGTTTTGATACTGAAACATTTTCTTTTAAGACTTTTTCTTCCTATTGGTAATATTATTCTGGGTTTCATGTATCATCATTGCAGAGTTTAAACACAGAGACTAGAGAAGATATATCTTTTGATTAGGAATTGTGATGTCACACCACCTTCTGGGCATGTAATTTTGCTGAGAAGTGAAGTTTAATGTGCATTTTTTAAAGCATAATCTCAATGTGCATTTCAGCAATGTCAGAATCCAAAACACATAGGCATACACGACTGATTGTCTATTCAGATAACTGCAAAATATCCATGTCTAACTGAAAGTGGCAATGCTTTTGGATATACCTTTGTTCATCAAGTGGTAGGAATCCAGAGGAAAAGAAACTCAGAGGTTGTAGATATAAAATCTTACTGTCTTCAATTGAAGAAAACAGGTTTGTTTTGCTCAAAACAGAAAATTCAGAGGAGAGACCTGTGAATGACATTCAAACATGTAAGTGATGTTTTGTAGGAAAGAGGAATAAGATGTTCTCTAGTGTTACTTGCCTGGGACAGAAAACTGTGTTGTAATGAGGAAGATTTCCTGATTTTAACAGTAGATAAATGGGATCATTTATTTGCAGGAAAAGGAATTCTTCTCAGGGTGGTCTTACAAAATATCAGGCAAACATTGATAATGCATGGGTAAAGTATGGTTGATCATGCCTTAAAGGGTACATTAGTCCATCCCATATGGGTTCTTTTGGCCCTCCCAAAAATCAAGCCTTTATTTTACATAGTTACATGTGGGTTTGGAACTTGAGGAACTTCAGTAGAAGCTGCTAAGTTAGTAGCTTTCAAGATTTTCCTGGTGAGGAAATACTGGTAATTTCAGAAAAAATGTTGGTGTTAAACATGTCATTAGTTGAAGGAAAAAACTTTTAGTATGAGAACAACAGAATGTGTCTATGCATTTACAACCGTCTGCTAACCCATTCTTTTTTTTCATTCCTCTGCAGGAGGGCCCTCTGAAGGAAAGCTTATACCAGGGGATCAGATCATAATGATTAATGATGAGCCAGTCAGCACTGCTCCGAGGGAGAGAGTCATCGACCTTGTCAGGTAGTTGATGTCCTGTCACTTAAACTATGAACCCAGTGGCTTACTGCCTGTGCAGTCATTCAGTAGTACAGCAAGTCTTGCCTTCTTATGGCTGAGAAATGAGAAAATAATGTTGCTTTAATCATAATGAGGAATGGTGAATTATTTTATTATTGAAATGAAGTGTCCTCTTAAAAGGTCATCTGGGTATCTGAAAAAGTATGGTAAAATCCTGCAACAGCTCCAAAGTACTTGGGTATCAAAAGAGTAATAGTGTTCTCCTGGTATTTATTTTTTGTATGGGTTGTTGAAAAGATAATTCCTGAAGCAAGGAAGCTCCAGTCACTGTTGTATTATTGTTCTTTTTTCACATGAGTAAAGTTGTGCTTATCTAATGTGAAGAGGAAAAAAATTTGGTGGGGTGATTTTTGAGAGTGAATGAGTGCATGTAAATATGTAGAGAATCTTGAAAAGTGTTTGAGTGGATTGCAGGTAGGTGAGTTTATGTGAAAAAAAACAGGCAGGGTTGTGTAGATAGAAGACAGAAAATTAGACAAAGAAAGGGATGGTGGATAGGCCAGGAAAGGAGAAATGTCAATATTTGTCATGGGATGTAGAAGGAAAGGAAGGACAGTGACTGTCGAATGCTAAGGATGTAGAAAAAGATGTTTTGTGGTTCACATAATAAACTTGGCATTCGGAGTAACAAGAAATGTAGTGCATTGAAAAGAAAAATGGCAGGTAATTAAAAAATAAACATAAAAAATAATAATTTAAATTCTAATAGCCTGGTCACTGTACTCTAGTTCTGTTTCTGTATTCTCCTTCTCATCTCCTTCTCAGTTGACTCCTGAGAAATACTCAGATTTTAATGATGCAAGTACCTTTTCTCAAAACTAGTACCTGTCAGTATTTTCAGCGCTACTCATGTAATTTTGAAAAGTCATACTTGCTTTACAGAAACTTGGGCAGGAGGTGTCGTGATAGTTATACTCCTCCTGCAGATGACAATTTGAGCAAAGAGGTACTCATTTGTTGGGGATTCAGCTGTGAACAAAACTTCCAAAGAAGATACAGAAATGGTATTAAAATGCCAACAATGCTGATGCCTCTATATGTATTAGTGGGATTATACAAAATATATTTCCAGGTTTTTTTCAAAAAGTGCTAACCTGCCAGTCAACTAACAAATACAATTCACTACGCGCTTCTTTTCTTATGATAAGTAGACCCCATGAACTGCAGGAGCTATCCTGTTCCTAATAAATGTGTGTCCTGTGCTCTGTGTTGACCACCAGCATAAGCCTCAAAAATGGGTCTTACACTCATTTTGATGTCTTTGTTTCTTCATAAAGCGATCATATTGCCTTTTTCATTCTTTCCCTGGTTCTTTGATATCTGCTATCAGCAATATATAGTAATAACAGCAGGGAAATAGACTGATTAGACCTGAGACAAACTGAATTTATTGTGTGGCTGATTCTCTGTCTGCCTTCAAATGAGAAACTTGGTAGGAATGTCACTCTTCCCAATTACATTGACTACACAGGTAGTGTCAAATTGAGTGTTGTTGCATTCCAGGGAAAGCTTTCAGTGATTTTTTTTTTACACTGTAATTCTACCTCTGCTTTTAAAATCTGTCTGCTGTTGGGATTTTGACAGAGACTCATTCCTTGATAAGACTCAGAGTGAACTGTTATTGGGGTTGTATGTTACAGTATTTGAAATGAAGAGCTTTCTTTTCATGTCGGTGGGGACATCTGGAATGATTAGACACTGTCAGTGTACAGTCCTGACACCATAGCAGAAGCAGTTCTTTACCTCAATGAAATAATGAACCTCTTCTGTATAATTGAAGGTTTTCATATGGGTTAGATATGTCTGCAACTTTTCAATGCATCTGCATTTTTGAATATGCATGGAAGAAGTTTTGAAATCTTATTTTCCTACTGGCAGCAGCATGTCAGTGGTCAGCAATGAGTATGTTTTAAATGTATAGATTACACAATGGGCGTAATCACAAAATCATAGAAGAACTGAGAGGAGATTTCTGGAGGTCATCCAGTCTATCATCTTGCTCTAAGCAAGGTAGTGTCAAAGTTAAATGTGGCTGCTCAACACTTGCCAAATCAAGTTTTTAATATCTCCAAATATGGAGATTTCACAACTAAACTTGATGGATGTTTCCATTCTTGACCATTGGCCTTTCAAGAAGACGTGAGCCAACTTCCTCAGTAGCCTTAGATGCATCTCATCTAGGCCCATGGACTTATGAGGGTCCCTCTTACCTAAGTAATCCCTAATCCTGTCTTTGTCTACCTTTGTTCTCTAAATTCTGTCCCTGATCCTGGGGACCAGGGTGGCAGACCTTACAACTAAAGACCAAAGCCAAGAAAGCATTGATCACCTCAGGTTTTTCAGTGTCCTTCATCAGATTGCCTTCTCCATTTAGCAGTGAGTTCATATTTCCCATGGCTGTCACTGCTGTTGTAGTTGTAGAGACCTTTCCTGTTACCCTTCACATCCTGAGTCACTTTCAATGCCAGCTGAGCTTTGCAAACCCCATCCCTCCCTGCCAGGATAAGGCTTCTATGTCTGTCCTGGGTAACCTCTCTTCATTTCCATCTCTGGGTTGCTTCCATTTTGCACTGGCCTCGATCAGACTTTTCCTGTGGAGCCAGACTGGTGTCCTGCTATGCCTACCTGCTTTCCTGAAGATTGAAATAGACCACTGGCAGTTGGAGGAGGCTGTCTGTGATCATCACCCAGCTCTACTGGGTTCTGGGCCTTTCAGAGCTGTATCCCACAGGACCTTGCTTACTGATGCTCTGGACAAGCCCAAGTCTGGCTTTAGATTGGCATCCTCTTCCTCTTTTCCTTCAGGATTTTACACTGTACCATCTTGTGGTCACTGCAACACATGAAAAATTGATGCTCCAACACTGTAGTTTTTCTGTGTTTACATGGTCTCTTGCTGAGAATATTTTATATTCATGCTGTGAAATTCTGTGGCTAGTTTTATGCAGCTCTCTCTCAAAGATTTTTGTAAAGTACAGAAGCAATTTGTCTTTATAATTGCAGGGTGTGGAAAAAATTAGTCTGTTTTCAAAATACTGGCCTAAAGATCATAGTATGTCAAACAGAAAAAAACCCAAATTGCATCATTAAAAAAAAGGAGAGATTTCACAACCAGGTGAGCGTCATACTTTAATAGGCTTACAAAAACTCAAAACTTCTGAGCAAAAGTATGCACAAAGGTTAGATCTTATGCCAACCCTTAATGTTAGAGTTTTTAGTGTAATGCAATGTATAGTTGTTTTCCAAAACACTTATGTCAAACTTATGAAAAGAGCTATGCAATTGAGGGAAAACAGTAAAGATAATTTCTGCTCCAATCTATCTTATATAAAAAAAAGGAAAATTCAAAATGTTCACCAAAAAGGTTATCTGAAAAACATCAATTAATCTTTTTTCACTAGGGTGAAGGATATCCTAATCAATAAATTTGCTTTATTTCTGTATTTCCCACAAAATAAGTCAGAGTAATTTCTGTCAGATCATTTGTTTTTCTTCAGCCTGTTTCCTATCAGTGCCAAACTCATTGTCTACCCTTTACAGGATTAGAAATAGGAAGACTTTCTTTTAAACAATCCATTTTGTGTAATGATTTTACTACAGGAAAATGCAAGAAATTAAATGGAGTGCATAATACAAAAATGTTCCCATTGGCTTTTTATTGCATTTTAATATTTTAATTATGTGCGTGCTTTCTAAACATTCATTACTGAAAATAATCTTCCTTAAGTAAAAAGCTGTGTTAAAGCTACTTCTGCTTACTCCAGGGGGTATTGAGCAGGAACCTGGTGAAAGATTTTGGTTTGTTTTTTAAGAATTGAGGGATACTGTTGTATCCTAGGAGGTCTCAGGTCTGGAGATTATTTGGGATATTCATTATAAATATCCCCAGTAGGTCATTCTGATCCATTGAATTCTTTTAGCTCTGCTTTGCTGGCAACACTTAATTAGTGTTCAAGTAGTCCATTGAAAGCCAGGATTGCAGAAATATTAATGTAGTATGGTTTGCAGACATTTGGACTCATTATTTCTGGCTGCTGTTCAATGGCTTTTGCACAATATTATGTTCTCCTGAGCTTTTTTCAAGCATAAACTTTAAAGTCATGTTTATGGTTTCCCTTAAAAGAGAGGTCAAGTCTTATGATTGTCACTTACCTCTGTGGTCAATATGTGTTTCATTCAAGACAGAAAGCTATAGAAATTTAAAAAAGGAGGAAATAAACTCATTTTCTAAATGTAAGGCCAAGACAAGGAGCAAGTGAACAGAATACTTCAAAAAGAAGATGTGTTTCCTGTTCGGCCAGTTCAAAATTGTATCAAGAGCTACTTATCTTGGTTTTATTTTACTGCTGAAACAGGTACTGTGAGTTAAAGCTTTTCACACATACTTAACAATAAGTACTTTGAGATAACATTAAAGTAATTGCACAATGGAGCAATTTTTCTTTATTTAAAAGTGAGCGAAAATGTAAAACTAATGTGTTAGAAGGTATATTAATGCACAATATCAATTAATTGGTTCTCAGAGGTGCATGTATTTCATTACCATTGGTTAATGTGACATTTGTATCTTTTTAAGGATCAGTTTAAGCAACCTTTTTTTAAAAAACAAAGAAGTATATCTAAAAAATATTTTGCCTTTTTAGATATTTATAGGCAATTTCTATAACATGAATTCCTTGTTTATCTTAAATTGTACTGAGTATGCCTTAGTTCTACAAGGATCCCAATATGTGTAGAGTGTCATTTTATTTAGTAAGGTATTTTACTGAAATTTCAAGTGCTGCTTACTTCATAAAACAAACAGTGAATAGGGTACAGTAGTGGTATTTTGTTCACACTTCAATTAAAATGGTATCAAGACAACTTTTAAGGAGAAATGGGCACCTGAAGAGGATCTGTCTGAGATACTTGTTTTGGAAAAAACTACGCTGTTGCAGAAAGCT